GTTATGTTATGTTATGTTATGTTATGTTATGTTATGTTATGTTATGTAACGTTATGTAACGTTATATTATTATATAATTATTTTTTTCTTTTAACAACTCTGTACTCCCTTGTATCAGGGTGGAGCCGGAGCAACTGAATGGAACTGAGAATTTACTGGCCAGATGCCCTTTCTGATGCCTACATGGAATTCACAGCAGATAATTACAGTAGCTGCAGAAAAAGAAATATCTGCCATTACCTACCTCACCTCCTGTGAGGTGAGAGCTCCTCTTCCAGCCCACCAATGCTGCTCAGTAGACTATATAAATAAAAGTTATAATAATTAGGTGAAAATGCTGCAGAAATTACTGTTAATAAAAAGACTGAGAAAATTAAAAGGGAAAATTAAAAGAATGCTGCCAAAAAGATCCGGGGAAAGAATTTGACAGGTGGAGGCCATCAATGAAAAGACAGCGGCCTCACTCACCTGTATGGCCAACCTCATCTACAGGGGTTTGCAAGAGTTGCACTGGGAAAGTTTCTGATGTTAAAATAGGCTTCTAGAAACCTCCATTCAAAATGGAGCCATTCTGGAGGTTCTCACAGTATTCTTGGCTTAGTGGTCGCCAACCAGTGGGCTGGGGACCACGGGTGGTCCGTGAGAAAATTTTGGTGGTCCGCAAAGAAATGTCCCCCCCTCCAAGCTATTAATTCAGGGAATGAATGCGCGGGAACACAAGGCTTGTGTCGCTTGCAATGTGAAGAATATGAGGTAGTGAGGGGAGGGGCAAAAGGGTAGAGGGGAAGAACTTGCCCTCCTCGTCCCATGCATCTCTCCTGGCCACCGGTCTGCTTCTTTCTGCTTCTTTCTTCTTCTGCTTTTGGCTGCGCGCAAGGAAAGCAGCCAAAGTCTTTCTTTCTCTCCCCCAAACTCCATCAGAAATGAGTCTTTGGGACCCTGCAAAGCATCCTGCTCCAAGAGGCTGTACCGGTGTGACAAGTCTCATTTCTGGCAGAGCTTTCCTTTCATGAAGCCAAAAGTCTCTCTCTTTCTCTATCTCTCTCCCCCTGAGAATGGAGCTGGAAACGGTATCCTGTGATCCCAAATAAAGAACGATCGATCGGTAGGAAAACGGGGTGGGGAATTTTCCTGCAGACTTTTTGGGGGATTTTCCCAGGGTGTCTGTAGTTTCCATAATTTTATTTTAGCGATAGCTAAATAGGAGCTTTGTGCTAGTATTCTAATTGTGGTTATTTTTTTCATAGTTTGTACAATGGAATGGCTGTGACCTTTCACCATTCTAACGTGAATTGATGCTGGTCAGTGGCTGCAGTAAAGATTTTGCCTTGCCTTGCCTTGCTTTTGCTACTGACCAATTCACTTTTATGGTAACCTAGTTCTCTCCCACATCCTTCCCCCCGCCCCCCACTCCCAAAGTTTTTGTTTACTGGTTTGTTTACTCTTGCATGTGTGATCACCATGGATCTCTTGGATTGCAGCTATAGATGTGAAATGACACCTCTGAGATTTCACTGAGATTTTCACTGAAGATTGAAAAGAGACTCTGGAAAGAGTGCAGAGAAGAGCAACAAAGATGATTAAGGGATGGTGGCTAAAACATATAAAGAATGGTTGCAGGAATTGAGTATGTCTAGTTTAATGAAAAGAAGGACTAGAGAAGACATTATAGCATCTTCCAATATCTCAGGGGCTGCCACAAAGAAGAGGGAGTCAAGCTATTCTCCAAAGCACCTGAGGGCAGGACAAGAAGCAATGGATGGAAACTAACCAAGGAGAGAAACAACCTAGAACTAAGAGAAATTTCCTGACAGTTAGAACAATTAATCAGTGGAACAGCTCGCTTTCAAAAGTCGAGGCTTTTAAGAGGAAACCGGACAGCCATTTGTCTGAAATGGTATAGGGTAGAGATGTCCAACCTTGGCAACTTTAGGAGTTGTGTACTTCAACTCCCAGAAAGAATGTTTGGGTTCATACAATGGAGCTAAAGAAGATGTTCTACCATGTTTAAAGAATCTGGAGACATCAGATGAGATGGAATATGAAATAGCAATAGCACTTCGACTTATATACTGCTCCAATGTTGCTTTCCAGCCATCTCTAAGCGGTTTACAGGGTCAGCCTATTGCCCCTAACAAACCGGCTCCTCATTTACCAATCTCGGAAGGATGGATGACTGAGTCAACCTCAAGCTGGTATGGATCGAACTCCTGGCAATGGGCAGAGTTAGCCTGTGTCCAATCACACTTGGCCAAGAACGAATTCTGTTCTATTCTATTTTATATTCTATTCTATTCTTCGATGAGAAGTGAAACGTCTTCAAAGAAAAACCAGAACGTCTTCGTTGCCTCTTGGGGAAAAAAAAACACCTTTGGGACCACCATGGCCTGGAGGACAGAGCAT